TTCCTGCGCGGCTGGCCGGCCTGCGGCGGCAGCGCCTCTTTCAGGGCCAAGTCCAGCGTGCGGCTCAGCGCCGAGGAGCCGCTCTGCTGCCGCGCCGCCAGCAGGTGGGTCTTCATCCCGTCCCGGTTCTGGTAGGTCTGCGGGCCGAACTCCAGCCTGTCGCCCTGCAGCGCCGCCACCCGGGCCTGGGCGCCGGGCCGGCGGGGCTGAGCGCTGATGGCCAGCTGCTCCACCACAGAGGCCATCAGCTGCTGAGCGCCGGCGTATTGGTCCGCCTGAACCTCCCTGGAGCCGTCCAGTACCAGAGCCAGGTCCAGTTCGGCCTGCAGGGGGGCCGGCGGGTCCAGGATGAAGGAGCAGTCTGAGGAGCGTCTGCAGGGGTCTGCAGGGACGGAGCAGAAAACCAGATGTAGAATTCAGATGGAAGCTGGAAAAGTCCCGGTCCGGTCCGGTTCTCATGATCACTGTGACCCAATGAATCTCCGGATCAGGAGCTTCACAGGTTCTTTACCGTAGCAGATTGCACAACTCCTGATCCTCCTCAGGTCGGCTTCCAGGTTCTCCTGCCTCGTCAGCAGCGTGAAGACGGAGCTGCCCGAATCGTCGACCTGCCAGGAAACCGATCACAATCACCTCGTCTGCCGCTGACATATCACTTCAACGTGCAACATGTGACTAGAGTGGTCCGGTCACCACAGCCACGGGTCGCTGAGCCTCACCTCCACGGCGTTCTGAATCCCAGCAGCTCTGGTCAGAGAAATGACGGCGGGGACGATGTTCATGGCGCGGTACTCCATCACCGCCGTCAGAACGTCGTCGACGTCCTCCGAACGGCTGGCAGAAAAGAAAACCGCCACCTTCCTCAGCAGCGTTCCGGCCCGCACGCGCTTGAAGACGTTGTGACCCACGAAGCGCATGGCGGCGCCGAGCTGAGGCTTGTTGGACGTCTTCTCCAGGGCGATGTTCTGCACCGCCTCCCTCAGCTGGGCCTTCTGCCGGTAGTCCTGAAAGCGGATCAGGTACTTGGAGTAGCTGCTGAATCCCACCACGGCGACGCGGGCGCCTCGCGGACAGTTGCTCTCCGTCACATCGATGTCGTCCAGCAGCGACAGCAGGGCGGAGCGCTGCCTCTCGAAGGCGGCCGGCGTCACGCCGTCGGACATGTCCAGGCCGAAGACCAGCTCTGTGGGGAAGGCCGGGCAGCCTGCCTCACCTGGAAACCAACGAAGAAGAAAATAACGGCTCACTGTGAAGGTGTGGCTCAGCAAGAAATCATTTATCTAATTCAGACTGAAGAACATTTATTATTATTTGGGAGGCTTCCTCTTCTTCTTCTTCTGTTGGCCGACAGATGTGAACATGCAGCACGAACACTGAGCACATCCTCTGAATCGACAAACTCTGGATCAAATGCTCAGAATGAGGCGACTGCGCTGCAGCGCCACCGTCTGGGTCGGTGCGGATACGTACCGAAGGAACACGCTGTGAGGACAGGAGACACGGGTCAGAGACCAGCTGCAGGTTCTGCAGGTTCTGCAGGTTCTGAACTCACCACAGTTGTCCCGAATGTAGGTGATCAGCTGACACTCCTGTCAGACAGACAGTCAGACAGACAGCAGGTGAGCAGCTGCAGATCTGTACAGGTGAGACTTTCTCAGGTAAACTTACAGACAGAGAACTAAATCCAGGTGGACCTCTGGATCCCTGCAGAGAGAGTCACCACTTCATTCATCCATCCCTCATGTTTTCATTTTGTCCATTTGGACCAAGTTCTTCCGGGTCACTCACCCTATGTCCGGAATGTCCCGGCTCTCCAGGCGTTCCCGGCGCTCCGGTCCGGCCCGCGTTCCCCTGCAGGAACCCAAACACACACACCGGAGTCACACACACCCGGCCGAGGGAGAAGGCGGTTCTGAAGTCCAACCGGGCCAGAACTCACCGCTCGGCCTCGGTTCCCCTTGCGACCCGGCTCTCCCTTGGTCCCCTGCAGCCCGTCCTCGCCCTGCAGGAAGAGACGCGATTGTTGACAGGAAGTCGTGGCTGCAGGAACTCTGAGAAAATAAAAGCTTCGACTCGGAGCAAACAGCCAGTCATCATGATCGGACCGGACCGGACCGGACAGCTCTGTTTGGACCTGACTGACAGGATCAACACAGCAGCTGGAGGATAAGCAAGCCAGAACCGACAGGAACCGACAGGAACCAACTGGAACTGGGCCAGAACAGACAGGAACCGGGCAAGAACCGGGCCAGAACCAACAGGAACTGACTGGAACCGACAGGAACTGGGTCAGAACCGACAGGAACCGAAAGGAACTGACAGGAACCAGACCAGCACCGACAGGAACCAACTGGAACCGACAGGAACCGGGCCAGAACCGACAGGAACCGACAGGAACCAACTGGAACTGGGCCAGAACAGACAGGAACCGGGCAAGAACCGGGCCAGAACCAACAGGAACTGACTGGAACCGACAGGAACTGGGTCAGAACCGACAGGAACCGAAAGGAACTGACAGGAACCAGACCAGCACCGACAGGAACCAACTGGAACCGACAGGAACTGGGCCAGGGAAAAAATGTTGAGGTGGCTCCACAAAAAAAGTTCTTGTGGCGGCCATCTTGGTAGGCACCATAACCAACTATCATGGCAGTTGCTATGACAACAATAAACAAGCCAGAGACTCAGAACAAGCTCTCTCCTCTTTCCTAACCTGTAAACTAAATGAGTTCATTACAAATATTACTGCATTTCAGTGATATATACTGCAGTAAATATCGCTGAGCTAGCAGCATTAGCTTGGCTAAAAGCACGGCTATAGGTTATATTAGCGGTAGACATTGAGCGCTAATGCGGTGTCTTTTAACCTTGATGGATAATTCTCCAGAGCAGCCCGAGTCCTCGCAGAGGGTTGGGATAAATGTCCAAACGGTGAGCCTGAGTCGGTCTGAGTGACAGGAGGCGATCAGCGCCGCAGTTAGCTTCAGACATCCAGTAGCGCTAGGCGGCTAGCGGTGTGACTGCTGCGCTATAAACTCTTGGTCAGGAACAATTCGCTCAGCGCAGCAGAAGCTTCCACGGTGGCTTATTGAAAAAATTAAGTGTTTATTTTTTATTTTTGAACAAAAACGAGCAACGCTTAGCCTGGCGGGGGGCAAGTAAAGCCTGGCGGCCCGCCAGGCTGATGATGCTCTGAAGGAAACGCTGCAGGAGAAATTTGTTCCGAAAGTAAAACTTTCAGAAAACAACAAAGAAAAGTTTTGAAGCAGCAACTGTCAGTTCAATTATTGATCAGATGTTCTCAATTACTATCAAAACAAGAATTTTTGTTTTAAATATCAATTTTTGAAAAATTCTCTTTGGAAAAATTTTGGATGCAATTTCTCTCTGTAGGTGTCAGGGTGGTTCTGGTCCATACGGCCCGGTTCTGCTGCCTGGTTGCTGGTGGAAACACTCAGAGAGCCAGTTTGCTACCAGAACCGTTCAGTGGGTCGTCTCCAACAGCAGGCGGAGGTTTTTACCTCAGGACCAGATTACAGCGTACGCCGGGCCAATCTGACCTGGTATCCATGGAAACGGACTCACCGTCAGGCCAGGGTAACCGGGGAAACCAGGATCTCCCTGTTCAGACACAGACAGCCAATCAAAACGCAGAAACTCAGAGGACAGCAGAGCGTCCTGAGATCGGCTTTACCTTGGCACCGCTGGGACCCGGAGGTCCGATCCCGTCTCTGCCGTCCGGACCCTGAAACAGAACGCTGACCCGTCAGAATCAGAACCACAACCAGAACCAGAACCTGCTGTGTCATACCGGAGCTCCTCTGGGTCCCTGCGGTCCTGGAACTCCAGGACCTCCTGGATCTCCTGGTTGGCCCTAAACACAACACCTGGGTTAGTTCTGACCCGACCCGGGTCCGACCAGAACACGGCCAGAACCAGAGAAGGCCGACGCTCACCTTGGGTCCGCCCGCTCCACGCCGCCCCACCAGCCCGGCCTCTCCCATCGGCCCCGCCGCGCCCTGCAGGTAACCACGGCAACAGAGTCAGGGCAGGCGGCGCTCTGAGGTCGGAGCGTCCCTGAACGCATCACAGAGTCTCAAATGTTTCAGACCCAGCTGTTTTGTTCTGGGATTATTCTGGGATTATTTGTTTCAGGATTTTCTCCTCATTTTCATCAGCAACAGAAATAATGATGAACGTGAAAATATTAGAAAGCGATCAGAAACTGATGCAGCTTCAGTTTTTATCTGTAGATAGAATCAATGATGTCAAACTCTGATCAATAAAATCCAATAATCAGATTGATCAGCTGATCAGTTTCTTTTTCTGATCAGATTCCCGAGTTTCACCAGATTGAAATCATATTTCTAGTTTTACATCTGACTTCCATTTTGTTTGTGAACCTGGAATAAATTGAAAGGAAGCATAAATCAATAATCCATAAATAGAAATTAGACTCTGCTACAAATATCTCTTAGCTAACAATGTGGCTTAGCTTGTACAATTAGCCAAAGGACACTGAAATAATTAGTTTAGCAAATTGCTCTGTAATATTTAAATGGTAATTTAAATCGTTGAACATGATGGACAATGTCCACTAGGTGGCAGTAAAGCTCAACTACTGATGGAGACACAATGATGGATCAGAAATGAGTCATTCGACCCCACAGTTGCCGTCTGGCGACCCCCCGCAGGGACCTGACCCCAGTTTGAGAACCCCAGTCCTGGTGAAGCTCCTTCCTGATCCGTACGCAGCAGAATCCAGACAGCTGGACTGAAAGCGTCAGAGAGCCGTGGTTCTGGTTCTGTTCAGGTCGGAGTTTCAGGGCAGCCCTAGTGTCGGCTGCTGCAGGAACCGCCATAAGCTTCTGCCCCCTGCTGGCTGCCATTCATATGACAGCTTCTTCTAAACCTCCATCAGTGGTCGGCATGGCGACCTGATTGCTAAGATCTGCAGCTGCTTCTTACAGTCAGAATGTAAAACACCTGCAGCTAATAAATAAACTGTTTACCTCCAGGACTAAAAGATGGAGGTCAGACATAAACAGGCAGGCAACCGTCAAACAGACGACCTGCATGTTCATCATTAACACAAACACAGCAGGAACATGGAGGCCGATCGCTGCCAGATGTGAGTCAGGCAGCAAAGAACAACAAATATAAACAGAACAAGACGGAGGGCTGAGGACCCGACTGGGTCTGCTCACACGGCAACACGGTCAGCAGGGTTTATACTGGAATGCCAGAGTTGAATTTACTACTTTTTGCTACCTTTTTGACTACGTCTACAATATTTTTACTACCAACACAAAATCGAGCCAATTTCACGCTGATTTCCTCAATTTGGGAGATCGGTGATCGGTCGACATTTATGTACCTTTTACTAGTTACTTCTTACTACCTTTTAGCTCCGCACGGAAACCCTGGTCAGGCAAAATTCACACTTCTGTGTTTGGGGTTAATAAAAAACAAACATGTTTGTTGCTCACTGCTAACTACAACATGAGCTACGCTAATAACAAGCGGTATTTCTGCTGATGCTAAAGCACAACACCAACACAATAATTAGCAGAAACTAATGTGCTATGCCAAAAATGCTAATGCTAAAGTGCTAAATTCAGTCATGTTTTCATCCATGAGAGAATGTAAGGCTCTGAAAACTATTTATTTCATATATTTATTTATTAAACACCGCTGGCTGTTTGCTCGTGGAAATGTTGCATTCTTCTTCATATCTGACTTTTTATTTGGAACAGAAAAGAGCGAATGTGAGGAGAGGAAACGGACCTGCTGCATATTCAGCCTCTTCAAAATAAGAGCATGAATATAAATGTTCAGCTACTTGAAGGATTCTTGTATTGATAAAACTTTTTCCCCCTGAATGTTTATGAAGCAGCAGAATAAACTAGTGCGTTAGCTTATGCTAATCCAGTGGAAGCTAAGTGCGCTGGATGTTCAGTCTGAGCTAACGGTGCTAAGCTAAAGCTAGCTGTGCTACGTTTGCTCCTTCTAGATGGAGGTGAGAGAAACTGTTGCAGCTGACCTGAGGTCCGGTCAGGCCCGGCACTCCTCTGGGTCCGGGTGGGCCCTGGATGCCGTGGGGCCCCTGCAGGGACACGAGACAGAACGCCGTCACTCAGCCTGGTGCCGTCCAGAACCACCGTGATCCAGAACCACCATGATCCAGAACCACCGCGGTCCAGACAGCTGGAACCCGGCTCGGCGCAGTGGCGGATCTTACCTGGGGCCCGGCAGCACCTGGAGGTCCATTTGGACCTGGAGAACCGGACGGTCCGGTCGAGCCCTGCAGGAACAGAAACGGTTAAAAGGGTTCCAGGTGGGAACAGAACCAACAGAACCAGGAAAGTTCTGACCTTCTGACCCGGATTCCCTCGCCTCCCATCCTGACCCTGACAAGAAGAGAGGAAGGTCATCATCATCATCATCACCATCATCATCATCACCATCACCATCATCATCATCATCATCACCATCATCACCACCATCATCATCATCACCATCATCACCATCATCACCATCACCATCATCACCATCATCATCACCATCATCACCATCATCATCATCACCATCATCATCACCATCATCACCATCACCATCATCACCATCATCATCACCATCATCATCATCACCATCATCACCATCATCATCATCATCACCATCATCATCACCATCATCACCATCATCATCACCATCATCATCATCACCATTATCATCACCATCATCACCACCATCACCATCATCATCATCACCATCATCATCACCATCATCACCATCATCATCACCATCACCATCATCACCATCATCATCTGATATATTGTTATTTTAGTGTTTGATGTTAATTATGTGAAACTCTTTGATCTGCTGAAATATTCTGCATTAATAACTGAAAATAAACCCAGATCTCGTTCTGATCCGATGAATTCGGTTTCTCTGTGGAGCAGAAACTGTTTGGATCAGAACCAGAACCGCTGAGCTGCTCAGCAGAACCAAACATGGAGGTAAACACGGAACTGACCGGGTATCCCACGATGCCGGACTCTCCTTGCAGTCCGTCCTCTCCTGGAGCGCCCTGTGGGTTCACAAATGAGACGGGTCAGGAAGCGGACACAGCACAACCAGAACCAGAACCGGCTTCCTCTCCAGGTTCCACCTGAAAGCCTCCAGGCTGAACCTGAGCAGTGACCAGAGGATGGAGTCATTATGTCGTCGGTTCTCTTCATCCATCTGTAACTTTCATTTGTTAAAGTTTCTCCAAAAAGAAACTGGAACAAACTGGTTTGTTTGTTCTGCGCCTCGCCTGATTGGCTGATCCTGTCTGCTCAGGTGACTCACCTGGAGGGAGCCGCTCCCTACTGTGTGTTACCGGTAATCCTGGGTATCCGGCCTCTCCTTTGGCTCCTGGAGACGTGTTGTCACCGCCTGGCTCGCCCTGAGACACCGAGGGTTGGAGTGAAAACAGAAATATGAACAGATGTTGCTTTAGAAACCTGAAGAAGAAAAATAATTGACTTTAATTCCGCTTCTTGACATTCCAGGCGTTCCGTATGATTGAGCTGGACGTATTTTTACAGAGAGGAGCGTTATAAAATCAGGGTCAGATATGAACCTGTGTTGATATGACCTTCAACCTTCTGGATTATGAGCATTTGAACTTGTGTGTGTGCTAATATCTGTGAGCGATGTACGTTTGGCGGCCATTTCTCTGGATACATTTTTTTTTAAAGAAGAAAGTACTAGCATAAGCATACTAGCTGTTAGCATATCCACCTCAGACATGAATACTAGACGCCTCATGGAGCGCTGAGTCCTACGTAACAGCGTCCGCCATCTTCTGTGTGGCAGCAGATCGGAGCCCCTTAAGTCCTGTGCTGTGTATTTCAACCGTTTTACGAAATAAACTGGATTCATTGGTTTTACCTTCCACAGGTAAGGAAGAAAGATCAGAATTACTTTGCAGCCAGAAATTCGCGTCTAAACAACCGAAAAATATTTCCTATGTAGCTTAAGTGGCCCGAAGTAGCCGCTGATTGTTAGCATAGCAGCTAACGTTTTCATACTGTGTTTTATGAGAGAGAGCTGATGAGAAACCGCTGTTAGAGGAGAAGTTAATTAAAAACCAGAGGTTTTAGTGAGGAAAGATCAGTCAGGATCAGAGCTGGAGCTGCTGTTCTTCAGTCTGTTTCCAGCTCAGCTTCTCCATGTCGGTATTTAGCTATAAAGATGCTACGAGTCAGAGCCCAACATGCTGAAAATGTCTTTTTTTGAATGTGAAGGAAATATATGTATTTTCTATTTCACTTTTGGATAATTTCTCTTTTATCCTTGGCTTCAGCCTGTGAACCAGGACGTCTCAGAAGTCATTGAGTTCTCCCAGTGTGACCAACAGACTGAAGCCCTGCCTGTGGCCAGTGTTCCCAGTATAATAAATAAATGTTTTATTCTTTCACTTTTTGTGTGTTTTTACATATCTCAATGTGAAGTATGAGTATTAATGCAGCTTATGTAACGAAATAAAAATAATTTACTCTGTTAGAATTATTTCCACTCTTTGCTGTCAACAGCAGAGTTGGCATATCAAACTAATATTTTTTTTCCAGAAAATTAAAAAAAATATATGTAGCTAATGTTTCATCAAAGTTTATTGGAAATTAAATTTTTTCTTTGTCTTGAAACGTTAAATATACATTAAGTTATGGAATTATGTAAATATGTTCTTTAATAAAACACTGTAAAAGTGTCTGTTCATCAATGGCAATATAAAAATGATCAGAATA